AGGGTAATACGATTTTTCAGTCCACGGAAAACATTTGCCAACTGATTTACAGTAATGCCTGAAATCACATTAGTTATTTTAGCTATACTTAAAACTAGGTACATTAAATTTTATAACATTTTTTACAGATTATTTCTATCGCAAATACAAATAAAGTTGTAAATTTTTTAAATGCACACGAATTTTATGGACACCCGATATATATATATATTGTTCTGTTTATTATAAAAACATTGAGCTCTATATGTTAAACACTTTAAATATTTAATATTTTATATTGTGTTAACAGGATTCACGCGCATTATATACCAACGAATTATTACTACATATATATATATATATATATATATATATATATATATATATATATGCACACACACACACACACACACACACACACACACACACACACACACACACACATACACATACACACATATATATATATATATATATTGCTATGATATTTGTGTCTGTGCATTTGAATTATGGAAATGAAATGGACAAAGTCTGACAATTATTTTAAGACATTTTTATATAATATATATATAAACAAATATATAAATATAAAAGATGTCTTAAAATAAGTGTCGGACTTTGTCCATTTCATAATGTGTAACGTCATTTGTTTACATTTGATACGCCATGAGCAGATATAAATGTACGTGAGTGATTCATGGAGAATTGTTGTTTAAAAACAGTAAAATCGACCTTGATGACCGAAACGCTCCTCTGTGGCTTTTTCGGTAAAGCACGTCAGGCTAAATGACGGTTCCGTATAGGATACAGGTTCGATTCCTGTCGGAGGACGCATATTTTCTATGACGATTTCTCGGACATTCAGGCCGGTTAATACTGTTTATTTGAAACAGAGCATTTACCTAATATTTGTATTAATAAAAAAACGTATAAATATAAAATTTGTCTCTCTCTCTCTCTCTCTCTGTATATATATATATATATATATATATATATATATATATATATATATATATACTCGAAGGCTCGTTTGGGGACTTTGTGTACCAGGTCTCTGTATTCGGCCCTTCAAAAAAGTGTGGATGGTTCTGCACAAAGCCTTCACCACTATAATCATATCATATGTGCTGGGGTGTCGGTTCCTAGTAACTGAGATGCTTGACCCTCATACGTCGAATACGACGGGAGAGTCTACCATACACACACACACACACACACGCATGCGTATATATATATATATATATGTGTGTGTGTGTGTGTGTGTGTGTGTGTGTGTGAGTGTGAGTGTGACAAATATATAGAAAATAGGAAAGAACTCGTTAGGCAAATAATCCAAAGTTCTTCAGTATTTTTGTTATTATTTTTTTAAAAATAGTGCTCGATACAAAAGTAGAGCATAAATATAATTATTTATTCAAAAATATGATTCCAACACGCTACATAAGCGTTCTCATGTTTCAAAACAAGAGCCGAAAAAACTTCAATATAATTATTTGAATTAAATTAAATTAAAGTACTAAGCTCTGTTCCATCTTCAAGCGAAATTTATATATATATATATATATATATATATATATATATATATACATATGTACATATATATATATATATATATATATATATATATACATACAAGCATGCATATATATATACATATATATGTGCACACACACACACACACATATATATATATATATATATATATATATATATATATATATATATATATATATATGCACGTACATACAAATATATATCTACACGCACATACATACAAAGGATAATTTTCCTATAATTCTGTTGGAAATTGTGTTCTCAATTAAACTAGTGTCCTAATTAGCATTTAAGCCGAGGAGTCTCCTTGAAAGAAAACTCATTCATCACCTTAGGCAAAAATTCAGTGTCTGCTCCGTGAAGAGGAAATATTACTAGTTTTGGGAGACATTGAATCTTACAAGTCAGTTATTCTCGCTCCATTGATCTGTTAGAGCTAAATCATAGAAGAGATCAGCTTCCAGTTATCTTGATGTTTGCAAGTGCACCTATACACTGTTGTATTATCTGCATAGATATTTATGTAATGAAGAATTTGCAAGAGATCTGAGTATGTTCTTAGATAGACCCTTAATCTTAATCAGAAAGAGGGTAGGACTGAGAAGAGAACCTTGAGAAATGTTTTCATTGAACTTATGGGATTCAGAAATCAAACCACTAACCTTTAAGGTCCTATACTTAAAAAAAAACGGATGCATGTTTTGAGGATAAAATATATGAGAAAAAAGGGGGTGCAAATTAACATTCTGGGTTTGGTGATGAAAACTATGTTTCTCTAACAACTAATATATATAGAACTGTAATTTCATGAAATTTTATTTTACAAGTTCACTACAGTTGCTAACTTTTATATTGTACATATAGTACATCTGGCAGCAAGGCCTCTGATCAGGAACCACATCTTTATTACTGTTGTTCCCAGGTCCACCATGACCTGGGGTGGTAGCACCTGTTAAGGGTCCCAGCTATGGGCAAATAGTTAACCACCAAACTGGGGTCAAAACACTATGAAAGTGTAAAAATATTTTTTGTAGTAAAAATACCAACAATGCATTTTTTGGAAAAAAAAAATATTGAAATTTTTTTTACCAGTAACACATTCTTGAAAAAAACATATTATCAGCAATAAAAATCTTGTCGACATTAAATAACCCATTGTGGCTGATATGCCGTAAAACAAACCAAACATATAATATTCTGAAATTCTAAAACACTACTTTTTATTTTAAAATTATTGATTACCATATATACCCATGTACAAGACAACTTCATTTTTAGGCATGAATTTTAAATCCCTCCAGAAAAAATTACCTATGAATTGTGCAATCTGTCACTGAAAATGCATGATTTTTAATCTCTTTATTAAATTTTATTTTGCAAGTTGACTACAGTTGCTAACTTTTTCTATTGTACATATATTTTTTCCTGGGTATGACGATAAACAACATCCGGCAGCAAGGCCTCTGATCAGGAGGTTTTGAGGAGCGTGGAAAAATCACTTTATTGCTGTTGTTTCCAGGTCTACCCTGACCTGGGGTGGTAGCACCTGTAAAGGGTCCTGGCTATGGGAAAATATTTAAAAGATAAACTGGGGTCAAAACACTGATATTTTTTCGAACGTACTTAGAGATCGATTATATCTATAAATCCCACTTGAGATCTGGAATGAACTTGTTTCCCAATCGGCATTTAAGGCGAGGAGTCTCTTTGAAAGAAAAATCATTCATCATGTTAGGCAAAAATTCAGTGTCTGCTCCGTCAGAAGGAAATGTTACTAGTTTGTTTTGGGAGACATTGAATGTTACAAGCCAGTTACTCCCCCTTCACTGAGCCGTTAGAGCTAAAACACAGAAGAGATCAACTGCCAGCTTTTGGTTATCTCAATGTTTGCAGGTGCACCTATACACTGTTGCCTCGATATGCACAAGACATCTACGCATGTTCTTAGGCAGATCGTTAATACAAGGCAGAAAAAGGCGAGAAGAAAGCCTTTGGGAGCGCCTTTATTGATTTTCCCTTCACGCTCTGACGTTTTCTTTAGAGTTTCGACGGCAAACACTTTTCATCATAGGTAATGATCCTGTCAAACATCTTTGCATTATTCAAAAAACTAAATGAAATATGCATTTTCATGATTAAGTAAGTATTTATTTTCACTATCATCATTCCTACCCTAACATTTTTCTTACTCATTTCACCAAAGGCAAGGGAATAAAGCCACTCGGACGCAAGAGGTTACTGAGTGTTCCATTGAAATTTTTGAAGATCAAAGTTGACTGGAAAGTAAGAAGAGTGAAAGAGAATTAGAAGACTTTAGTGAGGGGAAAGGACAATAAAAGAAGAGGAATTAAGAAGACAGAAGATAACGATTGACATTGCATTGAAATTTTTGAAGATCAAAGTTGACTGGAAAGTAAGAAGAGTGAAAGAGAATTAGAAGACTTTAGTGAGGGAAAAGGAGAATAAAAGAAGAGGAATTAAGAAGACAGAAGATAACGATTGACATTGCATTGAAATTTTTTATTATCAAAGTTGACTGGAAAGTAAGAAGAGTGAAAGAAAATTAGAAGACTTTAGTGAGGGGAAAGGACAATAAAAGAAGAGGAATTAAGAAGACAGAAGATAACGATTGAGATTGCATTGAAATTTTTGAAGATCAAAGTTGACTGGAAAGTAAGAAGAGTGAAAGAGAATTAGAAGTCTTTAGTGAGGGGAAAGGACAATAAAAGAAGAGGAATTAAGAAGACAGAAGATAACGATTGACATTGCATTGAAAGTCAAAGTTGACTGCAAAGCAAGAAGCCAGAAAAAGAGTTCCACAACAAGAAGTGCAATAGAAGAAACTGTTTGAATAGAACTTGCGGTTATATCTAACTATTTCTGCTGTAAAATGATGAAACCTTGCCGCCAATCTAGTACTGCGCTTAACTTCTGAATTCCGTGGAGGAAAGTAATATTTATTTTGTTATAGTACAAAATGTGGCACAAGGCCAAATGAGGGGTAAGGGGGAATAGTTTTCAGTCTGTCTCATCTTCAGCTTAGCTAGCCACGATTACTGACTTAAACATACCACTGTATTCCTGACACCAAAACAAAACATTCTTACGTAACATTCTTACTACAGTCACCATAATACCTCACAGTCTCTATGTAGTCCTAACTAGTACCCATATGTACAATCTTTCTGTGGCGGTGTGTGGAGAATAAAAAAAAATATTTAATAATGAAACCCCAGTGAATACCATGAAAGTATTTATAGAAAAGCCACAGGGAAGCTACGTTATGGCGGTGAGTAAGTGACTGAAACCGAGATGCCAGGTAAGAACCAATAAAATATCTAGCGACATTTCTTTATTTGCATTTGAAACTATGTCTAGAGAAAAAACAGCCATTGACCTTCTAACAATAAGCACACCTTAAAGTCTGCCAACAAGAACGTTATATCCACTTAATCCGTATATACAGCTCACAATGTGTCCTATAGGAAGAAAATGAGTAATTACCGACACCAAGGTTCGAACGTGACACTCTGGACTTATGAATATATGTTTTCCGCTTGGTGTCAGGCTACTGACTGGGGTGATTATTGAGTGACTATTGAGTGGAACTATCCAGTCGAATTAGTGTGAATTATTGTGTGTCGATAATTTGGGTTTTGATTTAGGACTTTCCGGACTTTAAGCCGAGCCGCGCTACTAACACTGAAATGGTTAATTATCTTTGGTTGACTTTTACTTATTTGTTCTTTTTAAGTATTTATTTGCGATTGTAATTAAATATGGTTTTATTTTAAGATTGAACTATTGAGTTACATTTAATTATTAACGGCCACCGTACGTCACAAAAGATAGATAGATAGATAGATAGATAGATAGATAGATAGTGCCATATAGGAAAAATGTTTAACGACAGACACGGATGTTCGAGTGTAACACTCTGGATTTATGAATATATGTTTTCCGCCAGGTGTATAAATAGCGGTGTCAGGCTACTGACTGCGGTGATTTAGTGACTATTGAGTGGAACTATCCAGTTGAATTAGTGTGAATTATTGTGCATCAATGTTTTGGGTTTTGATTTAGGATTTACCGGACGTTAAGCCGAGCCGCGTTACTAACAAGGTATTCACTGAAATGGTTATCTTTAGTTGACTTTTACTTCTTTGTTCTTGTTACATATTTATTTGCGGTTGTAATTAAATACTGCTTTATCTTAACATTGAAGTCTTGAGTTATACTTAATCATTAACAGCCAGCGTACATCACAAAACAATGAAGGTGAATTTATTAAATGTTAATGTTATTTTTAGCCATCTCCTTATAAACATTACGCATTAATTAACCGACTTGCTGTTTCAATTAAATCATTTTTTTCAAGAAAATCGTTTTTCCAATAGCTGTTATGACTCTTTCCATTATTGATGGGAGTTTCCTTCTTTGCCTTTTGTTTGGGATAGTGTGGAGGGTAGTGCTCGTTGTAGTAGAGACTTTGTAATCGCAGATACAACTTCTCTCCAGCTATGGGTAAATAGCAGGACATACTGGGTTCTATAGCTTGGATGGCAACTAGTCTAGGAGATGGAAAAACTCTGAATTCAAAACTTGCGAAGGGACGCTTGGGGACCCTGTAACACGTAGTGCAATTAAGTCTCTGTATATATATATATATATATATATATATATATATATATATATATATATATATATATATAGCTCTGTTTCATTACATTGTGCACTGTATTTATAACACCACAGAAATAAATATACGTACCTGCAACTATTTGTTCGTGTATGTACATTTTCCTTACCCATTCCTAATATATATATATATATATATATATATATATATATATATAGTGTGTGTGTGTGTGTGTGTGTGTGTGTGTGTGTGTGTGTGTGTGCAGCTTATATTTTATATCGTAAAGAAAGAATTTATACAAAGAATTAAATAGCAATGTTAATGTGATTAATGGCGAAATCACTTCGCTAACAAGACGTTAACTTACTATCAATTCTTTGAATAATAAGATCTTTAACTTCAACTATCAATAAATAGCATAACTTAAAAAAAAACATTTTTTGGTCTACACATATTTCGTCTTAGTATTGGCCTGTGTATGGAAAAATTATGCCCTGAAGATGACAATTTGAAATTGTCGAAAGTACTGGGGCATGTGTCTTCCCTCTGACAACAACTCGAATATAAGAATCATATTATTCAAGGAATTAATAGTAAGTTAATGTCTAAATAATATATATATATATACGTCCTGGGTATGACGACAAACTACATCCACGTCCTGGATAAGATGATAAACTACATCCGACAGTAAGGCCTCTGATCAGGAGGTTCTGAGGAGCGTAGAACCTCCTCTTAATTATTGGTATTCCCATGTCCACTCTGTGGTGGTACCACCTGTTAGGGTCCCACCTATGGGCAAATAGTTGACCCCCAAACTTGGGTCAAAACACCATGAAAGTGTAAAAATAGGTTTTAATACCAGAAATACTTCATCAAAATCATTACCAGCAATAAATTTTTGAGGAAAAAATTTCTACCAGCAATACAGCAATACATTAAAAAAAATATTATCAGCAATAAAAATTGCCGGCATTAAATAACCTATTGAGGTTGATATGCTGTAAAACAAATCAAACCAACCATATATATATATATATATATATATATATATATATATATATATATATATATACGATGAGGAAGAATTATAAATCTAAACATCGCTTGTAATTATGCATGAATGGAAGTGTTGAAAATGTGGGAACGCTACAATTTAAATTAAAGATAAAATGATAAAAATAAAATAAAACGGAAAAATTTAAAATATAGCGTTCACACATCAGCGACGTTAGTCTCTGGGGCATAATTATAAGAAACGTTTTCGTTTATAACATTCTCACTCCTACCAAAAAGAACGTTACTTTCGTCTGATGAAGTCCTTTTAAGGGACGAAACGCGTTACCCAAATTTTTTTCCACTTTGTCCTTCACTTTCCTAAAATGTATATGCGTGTATATACTGATTTTCTTAGCGTAGCTTGGGTGTGGCACAAATGCCATAATTGGGAGGGCACCCAGTGAGGCTCGAACTCACTACTTAGTCATAATCGTTCTAGTAAGACAAGCTCACTAACCATTGATGTGCCTATATACATGTATATATGTTTGTGTTTGTGTGCATGTGTGTTTATTTGTGTGTATGTTTGTGCGCGCCCGTGTGTGTGGATGCATGAGTGCGTTTGTGTGCATGTGCGTATGTTTGATTTGGCTTGTTTACTTAACGGCATATCAATACCTTATGGGTCATTTAATAGCTGAATTTTATTTTTGCGGATATTGGTATCTTTTTTAGAAAAAAAATGTATTGCTGGTATTTTTTTCTAATGTATTTCATTGTTTGACTCCAGTTTGGGGTACACTATTTGCCCATATCGGGGACCCTTACAGGTGCTACCACCCCTGGTCAAGCTGGACCTGGGAACAACAGTAATCAAGAGGTGGTCCCACGCTCCTCAAAACCTTCCGATAAAAAAAAAAAAACTTCTCTCCAATAATCAACTGAGAGACCCCTCGCTGCCTTCCATCAGTATGGCTGATGCTAACCTCCAGGAAAATGGCACGTTGCGCCTTCTCGGGCTCACTTTCTCTGCTGAGATGATAGGGAAAGATTATATTGAATCCGTTACTCGGTCAGCTGCTTAAAAGTTAGTTCACTATGTCGGACAAGAAATTTTTTTTCGCCAGAATCTATCTTACATATCTATAAGACTACCATTCGTCCATGCTTTGAATATTGCTGCCACATATGGTCTGGTGCTCCTGCTTTATATTTTGAGATTTTTCATAAAATCCAAAGAGGAATCTGCAATGTTTCTCTCCAGAATCTATCTTACATATTTATAAGTCCACCATTCATCCATGCTTTGAATATTGCTGCCACATATGGCCCGGTGCTGTTTCTCTCCAGCTATATATTTATAAGAGATTCTTTGAATAAAATCCAAATATTTAGAGAGGAGTCTGCAATGTTTTCATCCATGAATCTATCTCCTGCTATATATCTATAAGTTTCTCTCACCATTCGTCTACCATTCGTCCATGCTTAGAATATTGCTGCCATATATGGTCCGGTGCTCCTGCTATTTACTTGGAGCTCCTTGATAAGATCCAAAACAGAATCAGCAATATTACTGGTCCTAATCTGGCGGATCGGCTTCAGTCGCTTGCCCATCTCCATAAGGTTGCCTTTCTGTGCCATTTTTTATAAATACTTTCATGGGAATTGTTCAGATGTGCTCTTCACGATGGTACCTAGACTTTTTGAATTTAAGCGCAACACTAGACTGGCGTCAAAATCTCCATTTACAGTTAAAATGGCTAGATATAGCCGTAAGTTCTATGCTAACAGTTTCTTCTCTTGCACTTCCCGCTTGTGGAACTCCCCTCCGCTTCCAGTCTTTCCAGCCAACTTTAATCTACAAAAAATAAATGTTATGTCTATGGACTGTTCTCCTGAATACTCTGTTCTTTTTCTGCTCATCATTAATGTTTCTGTTCTTAATTCTTCCATACCTTGTAACCCCCTTGTGTCTTAGTGGCTTTACTGCCTTGCTTGGGGTGGTTCCGATTTAAAAAAAAAAAAAAAAAAGGCATTTCTACCGGCTGTACTTTTTCATACCCAAGACAATGTGTGCGTGCGTGTGTGTACATGCGCGCGCGTGTGTGTGTACGTGTGTGTGTTAAGAATAAAAATTGCATTGAAGACAAATAGTGGTGGATGTAAACGTGATTATATAAGAGTCGGTTGTAATGTACGGAAAAGTCGAGTTATTGAGAATAGCGCGAGTTGGCGGATGGGGATGTGGGTGGGTTAAGGATTTTGAAAAGCCAAAGAGAATTGTAAGACGCACCCCAGACACCGGCAAACACGTGTGTCAAATCGGCAAACGTGTGTGGAACGAAGGTGGGATAGCCAGGAATTGAGAGTGAAATATTATTAAAAACAATTTCATACATAGAGAAGAAAGAAAGAAAGAAAGAAAGAAAGAAAGAAAGAAAGAAAGAAAGAAAGATTAAAACTAGTCAAAAAGAGTAGATGTCAGGGGGTGGAAAGAAAGAAAGAAAGAAAGAAAGAAAGAAAGAAAGAAAGAAAGAAAGAAGATTAAAACTATTGAAAAAGAGTAGATGTCAAGTGTGGAAAGAAAGAAAGAAAGAAAGAAAGAAAGAAAGAAAGAAAGAAAGAAAGAAGAAAGAAATTGAAAAAGATTAAAACTATTGAAAAAAAGAAGATGTCAGGGGAAAGAAAAAAAGAAAGAAAGAAAGAAAGAAAGAAAGAAAGAAAGAAAGAAAGAAAGAAGAGGAGAGGAGGAAAAGGTTGACGATGAAGTTGAATTGGAAAAAGATCAATTGGGAAAAAAAGAAGTTAAAAAATGTGTTGACGTTGAAGAAGAAGAAGAAAGAAAGAAAGAAAGAAAGAAAGAAAGAAAGAAAGAAAGAAAGAAAGAAAGAAGATTAAAACTATTGAAAAAGAGTAGATGTCAGGGGTGGAAAGAAAGAAAGAAAGAAAGAAAGAAAGAAAGAAAGAAAGAAAGAAAGAAAGAAGAGGAGAGGAGGAAAAGGTTGCCGATGAAGTTGTATTGGAAAAAGATCAAGTGGGAGAAAAAGAAGTTAAAAAAGTTGTTGACGTTGAAGGAGGAGGAGGTAGACGGGGACGGGGAGTGCGAGAATCGAATCGGTGGGGGTTGAACAAAAGGTCTGGGTGAATGGGAAAAAGAGTGTGAGTGGGGAAAATGAAAAGTGTGGAGGGGGGGAGAGGTAAAGGATAGGTAAGAGCGAGCAAGTGGGTGAGGCGAGGTCGTTAAAACGGCTGGCCGCACAGGTTTCTTTAGCAGGTGCAGCACGTGAAGGGCTGTCGTACATTAACCAATCAGAAAGCGTCATTTCGGCAGGTGCGTGCGATGATGTCTCGGGTATGATGTCGGTCGGGCAGGCAGGTAGACGATCTGTGACATTTTTTTTCTATAAGCAAACCCCTCCGCTTCCGATGTTTGTACTCAATACAACACACACACACATATATATATATTTCTAATATTTACACATAAATGCGCGCACGCTTGTACGTAAACACATACACACATATACGAGTTTACCAATATCGTCAAGAGCAATACAAATAGAGAACGTTTGCCTTTGCTTTGTAGATAATGCAAAGGTGTTCGATAAAGTATGTCTCAAAGATCTGTTGGAACTGCCCAGCAACCATGACACATTTGAGAAGGATATTAGAATAATCAAGAACTCATACTAGCAGTAAACCGACTGCATGCGGACAGAAAATGTGTTCAGCAGATATACACAAATAGAAAAGGAGGTAAGGGATGTGTTTTAATAGAGAACGGACATTGCAACATTGATATCCGAAGGCGCGTTGTGATAACCAAAGATTCCTTCTAAAAGCTAAGCAAAGTATTAAGAAACAGTGAAATTTCGTTTGCAACAAAATAAAGTATACTGAACTTTTACGTAACATCTGTTCTACTATAAGACACTCGACATTAACAAAGAATTTCGTTTGTCAATCAAATGCTTCAATTTTCTTTTAATTTTTGTATTTTAATTTGTCTTGAGCTGAATGGATTTCGGCCATTTTGAAATTATTAACACGTCCTAAGATATGAGTTTCAAATTGACGACTTTCGAATTAAGCACGTACTATCTGGGTAATGCAGCAACAGCGACCGAATAGTAAAAGATGTCTGCCAGAAATTCTATTGAACTGCTTGACGTATTTGCGAAGTATATGAGAATTTTGAATTTCTAAGGATATAATAAGTTAACAACATTTCCAATAATATCATCTTATACTACAGGTATAAGATAAATTAATGAAACATTGGTATAGTTTTTAACTTCGTCTTATCTAAAGGTCGCCTTATACACGAAAATATACGATATATATATATATATATATATATTATAAATTAATTGATTTAAAATATGTTTTTTTTCGCTACACAGTTCCAACCATGTTTCAAAAATAGAAGCTAAAAACCCCCTTTATATATATATATATATATATATATATATATATATATATATATATATATGTGTAAAAATATATATAAATCCGACAGTATGAAAAAAATATATACGGAAAAACATAATTTAAAAATCAATATAACATTAAAAGTTAAATTGTATTTAATGATTTTTGTTTGTTTTTTTCCGTATATATTTTCTTTATATATATATATATATATATATATATATATAATTTCCTCCAAAAAGGCGGGAATGCTGCTAGTACGCAGGAGTGAAAATGAGATAAAAGAGAATAGGACGGACTGACGAAAGGACAAAAGATGAACGGGATTCAAGAAGATAGAAGATGACGGTTGACGTTGCATTTAAATTTTTAAAGATTGTAGTTGTCAGGGAAGCAAGTAAACGGTGGGGAGTTCAACAGGTGGGAAGTGCGAGCAAAAAAACTGTTGAAGTGGCGGTTGCATTTAGTTATTTTAGCAGTAAACGGGTGGGACCTAGCTGTCAGTCTAGTAGCATGCTTATCGTTTTATAAAATCACACACATACATATAAGTCACACGAAATTCACAAACAATTTCGTTTGTCAATCAAATGCTTCAAATTTCTTTTAATTTTTGTATTTTAATTTGGCCTGAGCTGAATGGATTTCGGCCATTTTGAAATTATTAACACATCCTAAGTTGTGAGCTTCAAATTGACGACTTTCGAATTAAGAAATATAACTATCTGGGTAATGTAGAAATAGACGACGCAATATGCGACCGAATAGTAAAAGATGTCTGCCAGAAATTCTATTGGAACTGCTTGACGAATTTGCGAAGAATATGAGAATAATCGAGAACCAACCACCTGCATACGGATAGAAAATGAGTTCAACAGATATACAAAAATAGAAAGGGGTGTAAGACAAGGATGGGTCTTCTCACCGGATTTATTCAAACTATACAGTGAGGCGATTTTGAGAGATTTAGAAATCCTACCAGGATTATCTAGTGGTAGCCATAATCTTAACAGCATAAGATATGACACAGTGTTGATAGCAGACACACAAAGGCAAAAGTTCCGACAGAATGTAACGAAGGAAAGAGAGAAGAAAGGACTAACCATCAACTGCAAGAAGACAGAATACAATGTAGTTAGCAAAATGATGAGCCCAAAATGCAAATTTACAAATTTGAGATACCAAAGTCAAACAAGTATAAAAATTTAAATATATAAGAAGTGTTTTAATAAAGGACGTTGTTATTATTATTATTAATATTATTATTATTATTGTTGTTGTTGCTGTTATTATTATTATTATTATTATTATTATTGTTGTTGTTGCTGCAATTGTTGTTACCATTATTATAATTATCATTATTGTTGTTGTTGCTATTGCTGTTAGTATTATTATTTTTGTTGCCGCTATTGTTGTTATCATTATTATTATTGCTGTTGTTGCTGCTGCTATTGTTTTTGATGTTATTATTATACTTGTTGCTATCATTGTTATTGTTATTATCAAAAAAGCTCCGACAGAAAGTAAGGAAGGAAAGCGGGAAGAAAGGACTAAACATCGATTGCAAGATGACAGGATGCATGGTTGTTAGCAAAATGAGGAGCCCAAAATACAAATTACAAATTGTAGATAACAAAATCAAACAAGTATAAAAAGTTAAATATCTGGGATGTCTTTTAATAGAGAACACAGCTCTGAGTGCAACACTGATATCCGTAGATGTATTGCGTTGGCGAAAGATGCCTTCCAAAAATCTAAGCAAAGTATCAGACATTTGGGAAGGATATTAGAATAACCAAGAATCTATACTGACAGTAAACCGCCTGCATACGGACAGAAAATGAGTTCAGCAGATATACAAAAATAAAAAAGGCGGTACGGCAAGGATGCGTCTTCTCACCGGACTTATTTAACCTATACAGCGAGGCCATTCTGAGAGAACTGGAAATCCTATCAGGATTCATCATTGGCGGCCACAATCTTAACAATATAAGATAGGCAGATGACACAGTGTTGATAGTAGGCACGAAAAGGGAACTACAAAACCTCCTACAGAAGATAACGAAGGAGAGCGAGAAGTAAGGGGTATAAGACAAGGATGCGTCTTCTCACCGGACGTATTCAACCTACACAGCGAGGCGATTCAGAGAGAACTAGAAGTCCTACCAGGATTCATTATTAGCGGCGACAATCTTAACAACATAAGATATGCAGATGACACACTGTTGATAGCAGACACGGAAAGAAAGCTATAAAAACTCCTACAGAAGGCAATGAAGGATAGTGAGAAGACTGGATTAAACAACAACTACAAGAAGAAATGGTTGTTAGCAAAAGGGGTGAGCCCAAAATGGCAAATGCAAATCGGAGGTACCAAAAGCAAACAAGTGCTGGAATTTAAACATCTGGGATTGTTCTAACAGAAAGAATGACACTGAAATCCGAAGACGACAAAGGCTAAGCATAGTAAGAGGACAACGAAAATATATGTACATATATTTTCGTTGTCCATCACCATATTTTATATGAACGCACAACTTTTAAAAATTTAAAATCAAACTCAGCGTTGCTTTTGCGCGTTCAAAAACAATAACTCATTTTCAATAGCATTTTCGGATACAACAATACATATATTTTCGTTGTCCTCTTATTACTAAGAGAAAAAACAAGAACAACATCTATTCTATACCTGAAGATGTCTATAGGAACAGACGAAAGCTTGTAGTAAAATAAGAACTAATACGGCAGAAATTTATATAAACAAGGATCATTTCATTCATAACGGATACGGAGGTTTTTGTATATTATTTGAATTGTTTGCGATGATGGATGTCTCGCCATTTAAATCATTAACCTTTGCATTACTTTTTGTGTGAATAATTCATGTATATATATATATATATATATATTCGGGAAAAATCACAATGCACATGGTCTAATGATTGCATTTAACATGAAACAGACCATTGCATCTGGGTATTGACTTCAATGTTTTCTGTTTAGGATTGGGTTTCCGCTTCCTTCTAAAATCTACTTCAACTCTATACTTCTAACGTCTCCGCCTAAACTCTGAAAAATTATTTATTTATTTTCTTCCTTCAGTAGGAGTAGATAGGTTTTTTGAATAGGAGTAGAAGTTTATTCCTTTGTTTCCTGTTTAGGATTGGGTTTCCGGTTCCTTCTAAAGTCTACTTCAACTCTATACTTCTAACGTCTCCGCTTAAACTCTGAAATTTTATTTACTATTTATTTTTATTTCCACAATATGAGTAGATAATTTTACTTATCGTAAGGCTCACACTCCTCCCCGGTCTTCTGAACAGACGAATGAAAGCTTTTCCTCTTCAGAATGCGAAACGTAAAATGCACCAAACGAAGATGGCATAGAAACAGATCTTTTTAAAGATGCACTTACCCAGTGTAGGCGTAAAAGTAAAGTATCTTAAATAATTTAGCCGGGGAATAGCAATTCTGCTTTATATGAAAGGAGATAATTAAGATCTTGACAAGTATCAACGTATCACATTACTGCACTGTATACATAAATTATTCTTAAAATATTTACAAAACAAAGGAAGAAAAAAAACAGCAAACACAAGATAAAACAAGCCAGGTGAAGAAACAGGTTTCTGGGTGGTTACTCGTCAGTAGACCATCTGCAAACAGTAAATCAAATGATAGAAAGCAACAGTGAATGGCTTTGTTTGTTTTTTTTTGGTTTTTTTTTTTTGTTTTTTGTTAACTACATGATAGTGAAAGTATTAGAAATAGTTACATAAGATTACATAGGTTTTTATTCTGGAAACAAAATTAGTTATCATAATCTATTGCTAACTTCAGTATTCGAAATTTATTTATGAAATATAGCCATCTGTTTTTGTTAGAGCATCCA